TATGAAAGGACTAGTGGCCCTCGTTGTGCAGATGCCTGCAGAGCGCGGTCCAGAAGCGCTCGAGGTCGGACATTTCGGCGCGCGTGCGTTTCGGCTGCGTGGGTTCAGCGTCTCGCTTTGCCTGCTCGGTGCGCGCCGCGACCTGCTGGGTCGAGAAGGGTGCGGCGTGCGAAGCGAGCGACGGTGCCGGCGCAGCGATTGTCGCAACTTCCGCCGCGGCTGCTGCTGGGCGGCCAGTAGGTGGTGCTGCCGCGGCGAGCTCGATGACGCCCGTCGGCCGGTCCGTCTTGGCCTGCGCCTGCGCCGAGCCCAGCTCGGGCACTTGCGGATTATACAGGGTGAGCCCCGTCTCTTCGATCAACCGGTCGCGCTGCTCGGCCATGGCGCGACGCTCGGCGTTGCCCGACGGCAGACGGTCCGAGATCCAGCTCGCGATTTCCTGCACAAGCGAGTCGTCCTGGTGCTGCGGGTGGAACGACGACAGCGCTGGATGCTCGCCATCGTGCTCACCGTCATCGAGCTGCTGCCCTTCCGCCGCTTCAGCGCTCTCGTCGCCCGCCTCGGGATCGCGCAGAGACACGCCGTTCCAGCCCTCAGCCTCGGCAAGCTGCTTGAACGAGCGGAACGCAGTCATCGACTGTTCAACAGCCGCTGCCGATGCCGATGCCGATGACGTGGCGGCGTCCGAAGCTGAGCTTGGGCGAGCCTCTTTGGCGCTGTCTTCGGATTTGGCCGATGAGCTCGAGCTCTTGGATTTGGAAAAGAGGAGGCGGTTGATGTCGATCCAGTGCGAGCTCGACTTGTCCTCCTCAGCGGGTTGCTTCGGGGCGGTGTCCTCGGCGGCTTTGCTCGGGTACGGCCTACCCGTGGACGGGTTGATGTTCTGACGCCAGCGGGGCGCACCGCCGCCGCGCAGGTCCCAGTGGTCGCATCCCTCCATGACGCCGAGGAACTCGCCCCACTTGGCGCTCTCGACGCTCACGAGGCCGTCGTTGCCCTGATCCTGACCACCGAGCGCATCGGCACTGCCGTCGCTCTCACCTTCCGCGGTGCGCGACTCGGCAGCCGCATCGAGGATGAGCTTGGGCAGCCACAACGGGTGCCAGATGGCGAGGCTGGGTGTGCGCGACGCAACGCTATAGTACTTGACGCCTTCGACATTGGGCGTCTTCGGGTTGAACACCTCGTTCATGTACTTGGTCGAGAGCATGGCATACGCAGGCGTGTCGAGGAGCGAAAGCATGTACGAGCTGAAAGAGCCCGTGAGCGTCGAGAGCGAGCCGATGAACGAGGACAGTCCAAACGGCAGCGAGCCGTTGCCCTTGGTGCTCTGCTTGACAGCTTCCTTCACCTTGTCGGCAACGTCGTCGGTCGACGAGCCCGAAGACATGACCGCGCCGACAGCAGAAGAGGCGACATTGGCAGCAGACAGGATCGAGTCGGCGGGCGAATCGTTTGAGCCTGGCTGCTTGCTTGCGGGCTTCTTGGGCAAGCTGCTGGAGCCTTGCAAGGGCTTAGGCCGAGTGAAGAGGGGCGACTTGAGCGAGTACGGCACCTTGGTGGTGGTGCTGCGGCTGGGTCGATGCTCGCGATCGGCCTGATGAGCGCGCTCGGCTCTTGCCTCGGCGATGGCCTTCTCGATGTAGTCGTTGCCAATGCCGATGTTGGCGTTGCACCAGTCCATGAACGGGCTGCCGCGATGCGGGGTGCTGATGGTGGTGAGACTGACGGGAGTGTACTCATCGGCTCGCGGTCGGATGTGGGTGAGGAGATGACGGACATCGAGACCACCCATGCTGTGTGCGACAAAGTTGAGCTTCTTGCCGCGTACACCAGCTTCGTCGCTCATGAGGAAGTTGTGGAGCGATTCGGCGCGCTCTTGGATGGAGCCGGTGGGCGGTACACCGTGGACGAGCACCTCGGCTCCCAGCTTCTTGCGGAGGATGTCGAGCGTCTTGGCCCAGTAGTGAATTTCGAGGCCCAAGAAAGGACCTCGGACGTCGAAGCCGTAAAGGCCGTGGCAGAGCACGATGGGGTGGCGAGGCAAGACGATGGGGTCGTAGGTCTGCGGGTCGTGCATGACGCTGTGAATGCGTCCGACGCCGCGCGAGCGTTTCCGGGTGTTATGTGCGCCTTCCGAGCTATTTGCGCTCTGTTCCGTCTGTTGAGTGGAAGCTCGCAATAGAGAGGCGAGCGAGCCGGAGAGGCGGTCGAGCCACGTGTTGGGTCTGGGCTGAGGATGAGCGAGGGAGCTGAGTGCGGCCCGCCCTTGCGTGCTGGTGTTCTCCGACTGTAGCGCGCCAGAGAATACGTTGGCAGTAGAGGAAGTGCCGCCAGGGAGGCGGGTCGTCGTGCGCGGACGAGCCGAAGTATGCACGCGTCGCAGCATGGCAGCCTTGTGAGGCACGGCAGTGGATCGGGATGTCGGCAGCCTTGCAGCTGCTGGACCGAGGAGGCTTCGCGCGTTGCCGGGCGCATCCGAGATGGGGGAGCCTTTTCTTCTGTGCGACGAGGCGGGCGTACAGGGGCTCGACGCTGGCGGACCGCATGAGTAGGCGGCGAGCCAGCAGATCATGGCAAGGATGCCTGCTCGGGAGCGCAGGAGGGTGTTGGTGTTTGCGACTGTTCGGGAGCACTCTGCGGTGCGTATGACGCCGTCGAACGAGGTTTGCAGACGCTGCTGTAGGACGGAGCGCATGGTGGCGTCCATGGATGCGATGTTGGTGCGGACCATTTTATGCGATGAGCCGACCGCACCGTGCTTGTCGGCTGTGGATGATCGCTTGTGGCCTGGACGACAGTATGACCTCGACGAGGAGATTCAGATCATAAGCACGAGACGAAGCACAGAGTTGGCGGGGCAGGTGATGATCGGGGTCGTCTGACTGAACAGTGACGATGTCGATCGTGCACCGACGCTGCTGCCAGGTGGAGAGCTTGTAGGAATGCGAGTCGAAGGGTGTGTTGGTGAGCGAGGTGGTGATCGGCGAGAGGGAAGGGGCGATGAACGACGATGGCACGAGCGAGGTTAAGTCTGTTTGTGCAAAGTCATCGTGCTCCCAGTTGGTGGCGGGGGAAAGGG